TTCAAAGTTAGAAATTATTCAATCTGTGTAAGATTAGGAAACTTAATGAAAGAAGGATGTTTCCAAGGAGCTGATCTCCTTTGGAATGCTCTGTAATGATTGTTGTCAAGTCTTTCTGACTTCGTGCATAATCATTAAGAGGATCAATGCATATAAGTTTAGAATCTAACAGATTTCAGTAAATGGCATGAATTTGGAATTCTTGCATTTGCAGTAAGGATTTGGGACTGTGAAAAGAGGATCATTGGAGTGATGTTCAATTGATCTATTTTACAAAGTAAAGATCATAGACAAACATAGTATGCATACTTGGTGTATGGCATGACTAGTGTTTAGAAAACATAGTGTACATGCTTGGAGCATGGGACAACTATGTTTTAAATTCAAGTATAAAGTTGATAAAACCGAAACAATGAATAATGAGTAATCAGTATGGTGATAAATAAAAGTGTTTATTTATATTCATAGGGTTTGATACCATATTTGATTCATTTATTCTTGTGTTTCACTTTGCATGTTTTGACTTCCAGAATAACTAAGTCGCTCTTCCTGAATGATTAAGTTATTCAAACCATCCACAGTCGGTCATATGTTGGAAGTAGATATGAATCAAGACTGTCATGGGTTGGTTTGTAGAGGTCCAAGTTGGTGGACAAAGTGGTGCTACAACACTCATGAGTGCTCATAAGTTCTGAGTATTGGATTCAACCCGCGCTCATTTGAATCACTTCATGGATTTTATCACGAGTGATCATGAGACGATAATATCTTATATTCTTCAAACCTAGAGATATGAGTTGTTACTATGAGTTGGTTATACATTGATTGCACGAAAACGCATTGGTAACTCGATGTTATAAAACGTGCCTTTGTGTATGATTCAACAAGTAGTAGAACAAGCCATATGAGTCGAAGTTTATCCATTCCTTTTACCTTCGGGATAAAAGCGATATATGTGGGCCCCTCGATGATTTAAAGATGATACATGTGAGTGCTTGGCCAAGCCAGGACTGATTTGATTTGTTCAATCAGTCAGTCATCATGAATCGGAAATCAGGAAACAACAAATGGACAGAGAGAATGATTGATAATCCATGTCTCAGTCCATATGATATCTAGAATGGAGGAATATATGATCCCTTATCTAATGGACAAGTCATTGACAAAGGTCAGAGTTCATCGACAAGGTCAGAGTTCGACAGAAGCTTTTGAGAGCTACGATTGCTGATCGGTTCCTGAAGTCATACGCAATAATATTTTTAGACTTATCCAAGTGGGAGACTGTTGGATTAATGTCTAAGTCCATAACTATAATTGGTAAGACTTGACCCGACCCGGCATGGTCCATTTGGGTTGCATGGCATCATGCATTTGGATAGACTATAATGAGAGAAATAACACTTAAGGTTGGTTAATATATTATAAGTTCTAATATATTAATATGGTTATTTAATTAGTATTGATCAAGAATTAATTTGGAATTAATTAAGTGATCAAAAGGAGACTAATTAAATATATGGGTTGATTGTGTAAATCATTCATTCTTATATATGTGGGCTTGTGATCCAAGATTCCTTATGTTGGACTAAGTCCATGGGGTGACCCATGGATACTCCATGGAGGTTAAAATCCATGGAGCATAAGGAATGGGTAAAGTTATGAGTTACATGGTGTAACCCTAATAGCCACCATATAAAAGAATCCCATGGCTCAAGAAATCGTGCACTAATGTGTGAGTGTGAGGGCTAGACGATTTCAAGGAGTGTTCAAGTTTCTCTCAAGTTATTCCAAGTGTATTTGGTGTTGTGTGAACCATTTGAGGTGTCACACTTGGGGCACTAGGCACTCAAGCTTCATGAAGACATTCTACATCAAAGAGGTATGTATTCTATCTTGTTATATTTATTATTTTGTATGCTAGATTAGGATAATACCTTGGATGTTCATAATTGTATGTATAATAGAGAAAACATATATCCAAGGTATTTAGGGTTGCATGTACACTTAGGAGTGTTAGAATGCTCATAACCCAACACAATCTTGGGTAATGGTCAAAGTCAAAGTCAACTCCTAGGTCAAAGTCAACATCGTGGTTGACATCAACTCGCCGAGTTGGTCCATCAACTCGTCGAGTCCCATAATTCAGAGCATCTCAAATTCGCGATCTGACTCGTCGAGTTACCCTCTAACTCGTCGAGTTTCTCCTTATGACAGAATCGGGACTTTCCATTTGAACTCGTCGAGTCCTTCCTTGGACTCGTCGAGTTCTCCTTCATACAGTCGGGACATTTGCTCACTGACTCGGCGAGTTCATCCTTGGACTTGCCTAGTTATTGACCTTTAAGTCCAAAACACGTCTAACTGGCTGAGTCATCTTCTAGACTCAACAAGTTGCTAACTAACAGAGAAGGTTTGGGGAACCACGACCCGACTCACCGAGTCCTAAGAACGAATCGTCGAGTCCCCCATGATCCAAAACTATACAATCGATTTCAGTCGGGCTTAACACATCTAAAACATAGATCTGGTCTCCTAGGGTCGATATAACACGTAAAGTTACAAACTTTATGCTCATGCATGGGCTATGTAGCTCAAGAAACCCTAAAAAGTGGTTCATAGGATGCATGGGACTCCCATGGCCATAAATTTGGCACCTTTATGCCATGGAGTCCCTCAAGGACCCTGGATCTGAAGTCAAAACCCCAAAACATGCTTGCATCCATGAAAGGTTCCAAAAATGGCTCCTTAAAGCCCTAAACTACTCCAAAAGAGATCTAATAGATGAATGGTCAAGGTATAAACTTTATACCTCAAATGATCTGGAAATGGAACACAACCTATGGATCTACTTGCTTCCTCTTGAGCTCCCAAGCTTCTTCTTCCTTCTCAAGCTTCAAAACCACCAAGAACACACAAAAATGGCTCAAGAACACTCAAAATGGATTAGGGTTTCGAATTAGGGTTTTCTGGACTAAGGGAGGCGATGAGGGAGGCCACAATGGGGTGTTAAGACCTTTAAATAGGATGTAAACCCTGAAAATTAGGGTTTCACTCTGGCAGACCTACTCGTCGAGTCGAGGCTCCTTGACTTGTCGAGTAGACTTCAAGTCCTGCGTCCAACATATCTAATTCCTACTCGACGAGTTTTGGGCCTCCAACTCGTCGAGTCCCTTAGCAAATATGAATAATTTCTTATTTAAATACGTACCAGGAACCGGGCGTTACAGGGATTTTCCGGATCAGCAGTCCGAGTATTTATCTGAGAGATACAGGAGTTTGAGGTGGGTTTCCTCATTGTGCTTAGCGAGTCGAAGGCACCAATGTAGGCCCATAGTTTATTATGATTAGGATGGTAGTTGTCTGCGTGATTCTTGCATGTATGATATTAGATATGCATACCGGGCGGGGCCCGATGCCAGGCAGGGCCTAATGAGTATATTGTATGTTACTTATCATTGTGATTTTTTCATGTGTTTATATGTTTATATGTATACCGAGCGGGGCCCGATGCCAGCCGGGGCCTGATGAATGTGATGAGGCGGGGCCCATCTCATATTTCTGACAGATCTGTTCCGAGCGGGGTTCGATGTCGGGCGGGGCCCGTTGTATGTTTGATATGTATGGTATGTGGTATTTTGGGGAACTCAATAAGCTTCATGCTTACGGTTTTCAGTTTATGTTTTAGGTACTTCCGAATCCAAGGAGAAGAGCTCAGGGTGATCGCATCACGCACACCACGTTGTTCCACATTTTACTTTACTCGGATGTATTTGAATGTTTTGATCATACTTGATTCTATTATGGTTTTATGAACATGTTTTGAAAGATGGTTTTTATTATTCTAAAAATTGAAATTTTTGGCCTTAGTTTTTGGGACGTTACAAGTTGGTATCTGTTAACGTATCCCACGAGAATACGTCAAAAATAACGGAACCGTCAGTCTATAGAAGAAAAAAAATATAACTAGGATACTATAATAAACAAATTAATATATAAGGTATGTTGCTATTTCTTGAAAATGTTTGAATATGTAGGCAAGGTATCATCAATTCACGAAAGAAGAACAAGATGCAGCATTAGCGGAAGAGAAGAGGGCACTCGAAGAGAAAGAGAAAATGAGAAACGAAGGCACCATTAATAGCACCATTGATGATCTCACACACATGGAGAAATGAGCTTGAGACAATATGCAAGTGTAAGATTTGAAACCTGAATCTCAAATCTTTTTGAAAAGAGTCCTAAAAATTCATTGATAGTTTTTTGTAACTTTTATATTTGTAGATCGACTACATGTAAATTTTGTTGCATAGGAAATTATGATTTCTTGTTCTTTGAGATGTGCATTTTTCATAAATGAAATTTTTTTGTCTTGTTTATTATTTTCGTTTTATCAATGATATTATGTATGTGAATGATTCGAATCAATTGTAACATTATTTTTAATGATTTAAGGTAAATATAGGTACCTTACGTACATTATCTATTAGTCAGTGCACCTTGTGGCTTGTGTTGTCTTTCAACATGTCAATGTGGTCATATGATACCTCAAATGACAAGACATTTGGTCACACTTGAACTTAAAAAATAACATGTGGCGAAAGGCATATGGTCACACTTTTTTTGTGTGACCTATGTCGATTTTTGTATTAGTGCATGCGATCCAAGTGCTCTTTGACTTCTCAATTTTGCACCACTCCACACACTCCTTGTGCTTGCATGTTTACCTGTATTTCCAAAGGGTGTTGATTCGTACGGTTTTTTGCCATACACAACAATGGCATGCTCTTTTTTGCATATTGTACAACCCCTCTAAAGCATTATATTTTATATGACAAAAAAACTGTTGTATACAAATCAACTCCCATTTTCAAAACTTACACCGATTCGGGTAATGTAAGATGACACTACCTTTTTCACCAACTTCATTTTAGCTAGAAGAAATCGAACCCGGCATGGTTGGCTTTGGCATAAACAACGAGCCTTTGATATCACTTGTTGGGTTAAAATATGACCAAAATATATGCAGTTTGAGGCTTGAATGTGTCACCAGAAAAATTGCTTGGGGCTGCAGAATGGTCTGATGAAACAAAGAAAACTGAGAAGGGAGATAGGAAAAGTTGAAGCCAAAAATTTCCTTCAATTAAATAACATGAAACTGTATAGTGCAGCCGAAATAAAGAAACAAAAGGACTACTGCTACTGCTATATCTACTTTTTGGAAAGGTTGGAAACAGACGAAGGCAAATCATTCTATTTGAATGGAGAGGGCGACCCACTTCTCAACCCCACTCCCCAATAATTAGGCATGTCACAACATTGGCCACTTGCTAAAGAAAAAGTAACCTCCTTTTTAGTTTTAAATTGTCAAGTCTGTCCTTAATCATTGCAAGACTTGGGCTAGATTTGGACTCAGGTTGACCCGCTCGAGTTAAGTTTAAACTCACACACATAAGTGTTACATATGTGAATTGCTCTTTCATCGATTTGAACAAACATTAACTAACTTTTACAAGAAAAAATCTAGCCATTCTAAAGAACAATGATATCAAACAAAGTTAAAAACTCTGAACTAGTAGGACTTCATGTGGAGATTATTGACAACATTAAGTCGTTTATTGTATTCATCTTGACATGCATATGGCAAAATTGGAGTTCTGCAAATCGGACAAGTACCTTGAACATGATCCATCCAACGATCCAAACAACCCTGATGGAAATCATGCGTACAATTTATCAAGCATCTAAGCTTGTCATCACCCTCGAACTCATTCAAGCAGACTGCACAACTTTCCTGCAAATCTTTCCTCTCATCAATGTCCTTGAAGTTTCTGACCACAAGGAATTCACGAGTTACCACAGCTGAAACAGGACTGCTTCCAGATAGTTTTTGATGATCGTGATGATGGTGGGGTTGAAACAAATTAAAGATGTGGATGAAACGAAAAAGAAACAGAACCATGTTTTGAATTGAACATAAAACAAAACATGCGAATAGAATATACTTGGAAAGTCCCGTTTCTTTGAAACCCATATACATGCCCATTGATGTCCTTGTATGTGTGTGTTGTTAGGTGTGGAGAAAAAAGGAGTTGGATCTGATTATAGGTTCCCTTCAAAGCATGAATACATACATATAATGGATCCCTATATATTAATGTGTGTGATGGAGGTGGGGGGAAGGATCATTATTAAACGATTAATAATTTAGATACAAGCGCACTAATTTAAACATATTGATAGCATGGGCCAATGTATGGAATATAATTAAATTATATTAAAAGAGCACTTATTTAGCTAATTATAAGATATTGAAATATCAGTGCTTATTTTATACCCTTTCACATGTGGCCAACCAAAATAATCGCGGACAACTATTTTATTGATCCATACTCCACACATGGTCTAAAACGTATTAAAAATATACTTAAAAAAACGTATTTACAAATGCAAAGAAGTTCAACTATATAAATGAATAAAAACATTTAATTTTTTGTTTTTTATAATGACAATAAAAAGAATCTGTGTTATATAATTTATAAAAATATTGATCAACATGCATACATATGAGAGATGAGTTGATATCATAAAATGATAGTCGTTTGTTTTTAATTTATTTTTTGGTCATTGATATTGAATCTATATGGTTTCCATTAGGGATATAAAAATATAAATTTTGAATATTTAAAATTCAAATATGGATTTGAGATAATTCATATCAAAATACCCCCAAACCATTTATTTTCATCTTCTAAAGACAAAGTAAAACCTACGACAAAATATACTAAAATTTATATGGTGCCAAACTCACCACATGCCAACAATTCAGCATAGCCCTTCACAAAATTAGATCAAACAAATACACACACACTTTCTTGAATCAATTTTGCAAACAATATTTACCACAAAAACAAAAATACAAAATTTAAAACACCCAAATTTGTTCTTACTCTAATTACCAAAAAAATGTCAAAATTCGATCCATATGAACACCTCAAGATTCTTAATAATGAAGATGGTACAATTACTCGCCTTGTTCAATTCCCACAAAAGCCAGCCACCGGCGACGGTGAGCTCCTCCCTGGTCAAACGGTGGTCAGCAAGGATGTAACCCTCGACGCCACCAAAAACACATGGATACGAATTTACCGGCCGGCGAAAATACCATCCAACGACAGCAAAATCGCACGCCTCCCATTGGTTATATACTTCCACGCCGGAGGTTGGATTCTTTTCAATGTAAACGACATGATGAACCACGACGCCATGAACAAACTCTCGGAGGAGATTCCGGCCATCGCCGTTTCAGTCAACTACCGGCTAGCACCGGAGACCAGACTCCCAGGGCAATACGAGGATGCCATGGACGCTTTAAATTGGGTGAAAAAACAAGCCACAGATCCAAACGGCGAACCATGGATCACACAGTACGCCGATTTCTCTAGGGTTTTCCTCTACGGAACCTCATGCGGCGCCAACATTGTTTTGAACACAGCATTACGAGTTCTGGATCAGGATCTATCGCCATTGACAATCGGGGGAATTATACTGAACCAGCCCTTCATCGGAGGCAAAAAACGAACGAAGTCGGAGCTAAAAATGGCGGCGGATATGTTCTTTCCGTTGCCGGTGATCGATCTTTTGTGGGAACTTGCTTTACCGAAGGGTACGGATCGAGATCATCGATTTTGTAATCCGTTAGGGGATGAACAAGTGAAGCAAAAGATGAAGAGATTAGGGAGGTGTTTGGTTATAGGGTTTGGAGGGGATCCATTGATCGATAGGCAACAAGATCTTGTGCAATTGATGGTGATGCAAGGGGTTATGGTTGAAGCCAGATTTGATGATGTGGGGTTTCATGGGATTGAAATGATTGATCCAAGAAGAGCTTCTGCAATTCTTAATTTTGTTAAAGAGTTCATCATTTGAATTTTTTTTTTTCTTTATTAAGTTTTTATTTGAAGAAAATGTAACATTTCGTAACTTTTGTGAAGATGTAATGATTGTACTGAGTTAAAAGGGTTAATATCAAATTATGTTTTTAATACGAATCAAAATAGATGGGGTTGAATTGAGCAACAAACGTTTCTTTATTAATTTTTTTCGATTACGATTACGATAATAATCATTTTGTTAGGGATAACTACTTTCTGTAATCAATTTTATGTTTTGTATGTATTTAGATTTATTATTGAAAATGGAAAAATCATCATAAATGGTTCTTTGAGTTTTTCAAAAATTTGAAATATAATTTTTAAATTCAAAAAACCTCTCAAGTGGTCTTGTGGTTTCAAAAACTTTTAGCAAAAGGTATTTATTGCTCACTGCGTTAAATTTGTCCGTTAGCTGAAGGGCATTTCTGTTATTTCATTACCACATGAACCATTTAAGAAGATTTTTTGTTATATATATATATATATATATATATATATATTAGAAAAGTTTTAGGCCCGTGCTAAGCACAACCCACGGAAGGTAAGTTGTGTATTTGTTTCGATGTTGTCTAAGTATATGCTATTAAAAATAATAATAATAATAAACTACAATGCTAGTGAGGAAATGAAATTTAGTGCTTTTACCAATAAAAATGAAAGTACATTGTAAATTGGTAAATGCAGTAAAGTCCATTGATATTTGCTTTGCTGCAGCTCCTATGTTGTTCTAACATGTATGAGTTAAAATGTAAAAATATTAACCCATGTTAGAATGTAAAAATGTTAACCCATGTTAAAATGTCAGCACCTACTAACAATTATATTTGCTTTCCACACCTTGAAGTAAGCTGAAAGCCTTGCACAGTAATTAAAACAATAAAAGGCTAAATTTAAGGAATTGTAATGCCATAGAATTTACTTGGTCATTTTTTGAAATTTGTCCAAAAATATATACTTGTGTTTTACTGGTTCTATGATACTGTTTTTGAACCTTGTTGGTCCTTCATCATCTAGTTGTTAAAATTATGAAAATAACCAATTACTATATCTCTTTCATAGGAACTCAATAGTAAAAATGTTTTCTTATGCTCTATAGAGTATCCTTGTAGAAAAACTATCTTTGGGTGCCTCAAACATAACATATTTGAAATATTTTCTAGAAAATTGTCTTCCTCTTGTAGTGGACAATTTCATTACCTATCTTTGCAATGCTATTATCTATAAGATAATTATATTTAGCACCAAACCTATATTGACCAACCCATAAAGTGGTTTCTCCATCCTCATTGACCATTCTTCATGTCAGTAACGTCGTGATAGCTTGTAACATGATAAAATTGGGTCATAATTAGACGAAATAAATTAAGAAAGAAATATAAAACATATACATGCAATTTTAATAGGTGATGAGTACATATATATATATATATATATATATATATATTATATATATATATATATATATTACATCAAAAATTATATTTTTTAGATTAAAAAAGACCCCAATTAATAATAAGATGTACATGAAAGTTTTTATATAGAGTTAAGATTTTAATTTCTTTTTCGTGTATGCAATATAAAGAAATATACACATTAATGAAGGCATTATCTACTTTCAGTACCTCACATGAATATTTTTCAAATGGTTCGTCAATGATTGTTATTTTGCTGGGACATACAAACAAAAGTGCATAGTATTAATCTATTAAAACCAATTTATCGTTATAATTCACTTCTTTTACTTCATTTTTTTTCTTACATTTTAGTACCCGCCGTAATCCAAAAAGAGAGAGAAAAAAAACAACTCATTTGATAACAATCTAACTTTGAGAGTAAACATGGAGGTTGCATACTTGTGTTCTAAAGATATAGTAAACACCAAGATACAAATTAGCAAAATCACAATCTGGAAATAATCCATTTTAGCAACTTTTGAGTGTTTCTGGAAAAACAAATTCATTGTGTCATCTCACCTGCTTTCATTTTTTATGCATGTTTTACTTTTACCTTTTAACCATAGTTCCTAAACTTACACTTACTTTTCATCTCCAACGAGTTTATAAAACCATTGTCTAGGGTCAAAAATTGCAGGACACGACCAAATCTACACTCGTAAATGATTCAACAAAAGGTATAAGTTACCTGCACCCTACAAAATCTGTCACCGAGGGTCTAATGGTCATATATTAAGCTACTCTTAGTCCCACATTATACAAATATTTATACATTTCAAGTTTCAACTAACATATACAATAAGAAAAGATAAAACAATTAAGATAATGCAACAATCGTAAGAATAGTATAGATATACCTGAGCCTCAGACGACAATATATGTAACCAAAATCATTCATTGTGTAACACCCCGTTTATTTAATAAATAAATAAACGAATTAATGAACGCATAGTAGCCCTAAAATAAATAATTATATCAAAGGATGGTCTCGAAGGGCTAATTGTCGTAATTTTAGAAGTTGGGGGTTAAAAGTGTGAGTTACGGACTCAGTTTGTAAATATTTATGAAGACAGAGGCTCCGTGGTAATTATTTGGATTTAATTTGAAAGGAAAAGAGGTGGAAGGGCTGAACATGTCATAATTAAGATATTGGGGGCTAAAGGGGTAACATAGGGAGCTGAATTGTAAAGATTTTAGAAGATGGGGGGCTGTTTGGTAATTTGCGGAACTTAATTTGTAAGGGATTTCCATGGATTGGGTTGAAAGGGTAAATATTGGATTACATTTTTAAAGAAAAGGGAAATGAGGGACCGATCTTGGCATTATGGTAACAAGTTTGGGGGATCGGGGTATATAAACTTGTCACCCCGGTTCTAAACCCTAACCCTAAAAGAAGTGTCGGCCGCCACTCTCAACTCTTCGTCTCCGGCGCCGCCACCATTCACCTTGTTCGCTTTTCCGACCGCCTAGCACCATCAGGCTAGTTCTCGTCACTGGAAACATTGAGGATCGGCAGGAGATGGGAGCAACCGCCGTATCAGTTGACGTCGGAGCCAGGAGACGCCACCAGCCACTGTTTCATTGCTGTTGTCGCCGCCGGAGGGCTCGTTTATGTTGCTCCGGTCATCGGTCGCCATCCCGAAGGACTATTATGTCATGGGTCGCTTCTCCAGCCGTTGTAAGCGCCGCTGTAGCGCTGCTGTTCTTCCTCCTCCGAGTCGTTGCTGCCGTCGTTATGCACCACCAAGTGGTGGTTGCATCTGGAAGTCCGAGCAAGGTTGTTGTGGGGGTGTTGTTGCTTGACTGGGAAACAAAAGGAACCACCGCCACCACCGTGAGGTGGTGGCTGTCATCGTAAACTCACCATTGTCGCCGCCTTATGCCACCAAATGGGTGGTTGGCTTCCCTTCCCGAGCAAAGAAATGAAGATGTGCGTGTTTCCGTTGGTGAGTGTGTGTGTGTGTATGGCTGAAGTTCTCGGAAACGACATCACCACCACCATAGGGTGGTGGCTGCCGCCATGCGCCACCGCCGGCCACCATCAGGTGGCTGTATGTATGTGTTAGTGTGTGTGTTGCTTTTGGTATTTCCATTGTAAATTGTAACAAAAAATGGAATAATGAGAAAGAAACTCGAAACCACCACCGTGAGGTGGTGGCTGCCGCCACCGGCCGCCTTGTTGGGATTGCTTTTTGGATGTTTGGACAAAGGACTAAAACCCTAATGGGCCTATTAAACCCTAATGGACCCAATGAAGCCCTAATGGACCCAAAAGCCCAAACATGTGACTAATGGGTGTAATAAACCCTAATTGACCTGAGGAAAACCCTAATGGACTTAAGGACTTGGTTTTGGGCCTATTGGGCTAAGATGGGATTAGAAAACCCTAATATTGGATTTATGGGTTTGGACTTATCGGGACCCACATTTGGGCCATTGGTATGGAAGTGTGTATTAAACCTAATCACACCATATGAGTTATTTAGAATGGAATTTCCTTAAGTTGAGCAAGTATGTGGCCCTTAAGTTCAAAGGTGGCAGTTGCGGGAATCGCGGGTTGCACGAGTCCTGGGCCGGTGTCGTCACACATTATTTTCTTCCATTCACCCATGGGAACTTCATCGATGCTAGCCATGTTGTTAGCTAGTTCGCCCTCTATGTCGCTTCCTTCTTCAAATTCGCTTTCTTCCTTTTTGGATTCGTACTCGGTATCCTCCTTTTTCGGGTCTTCGTCTGTCACTAAAGAGATACTGGATTCTCCCACTTTCTTGCCCTTTTTCTTACTAAAAACAGATTTGAGATTCTTCAACGGCGAATTCTTCGATGTTGCGGTTTCTCCTACGGTTTTGCCTTTGTTTTTCCTCAAAGTTGCTTCCGGGTCTTCAAGTGGTGGAATCAAAGGTGTACCTCCTCCTCTGGTCATAAACGTACTGCAATCAAAACAGAAAACACGCGTAAAAAGAACAAAAATAAACTAAAAACGAAACTATGCGTTCAGCGATGGACTTGTCGAGTAGCTTCGACTGCACTCGGCGAGTACAGAGCTAAAACATAAATAAATTAAATAAAAGTTCCAAAAACAGAAAAACTTAAAACTTAACCTAATAACTAAATTACTAAAGCAGTAACTTTGTGCAAGATGGATCTCACACAAAGGATCGATAATACTAGAAATTAGAATTAATTTTAGAACCGTTCCCCGACAACGGCGCCAAAAACTTGATGTGTATAAAAATGCACTGGTTTTAGTCCTACTTTTAAGATGTAATTTAAACACACAAAGGCAATGAACCTGTCTTTTAGTGGTATAGTTAAGCAAGTAGGGTATCGAACTCGAGGAACGGAAATTAAACTAATAACTAGAATTAACTAAACAAGTAATGAAAGTAAAAGGTTTCTCTAGTTTTACAAGACTAGAAACTTTAACACACTAACTAACACACAAATTAAGTAACTAATCAGCTAAAAACGAGTAAAAACTAACTAAATTCAATAATAAAAGGTTTCTGTTTAGGTTCGATTCGTTTACTCTTATGGTTGA